GCCTTTTAACCCAGTAAACCAATCCTGTGAGTTGTTTGGATATATAAAGAAGTCTTTGTAACTGTGCAGCACAAACAAACATGAATATACATATGCCTACAGATACATACTCTGCATTTCTCAAGCTGAAAGAACTGAAGAAAGAATTAAAGCCTTGAGTTGCAATATTGAAAGATTCGATGGACAAAATATTGAATGATGCAGGAAATATCAAAAGAAAATGGAAGGAAGACACAGAGTCACTATACCAAAAAGAACAGGTTGATGTTCATCCTTTTCAGAAGGTAACATGTGATCAAGAGCCAATGGCACTGAAGGAAGAAGTTGAAGCTGCACTGAAGGAATTGGTGAAGAACAAGACTTTAGGAATTGAGGGTATACCCATTGAGATGTTTCAACAAATAGATGCCACGCTGGAGGCACTCACTCATCTATGCCAAGAAATTTGGAAGACAGCTAACTGGCCAATGACTGGAAGAGATCCATATTTGTACCCATTCCAAAGAAAGGTGATCCCACAGAATGTGGAAATTATTGAACAATATCATTAATATCACATGCAAGTAAAATATTGCTGAAGATAATTAAAGAACAGTTGCAGCAGTATATTGTCAGAGAACTTCCAGAAATGCTAGCTGGATTCAGAAGAGCATGTGGAATGACAGATATCATTGCGGATGTCAGATGGATCTTGGTCTAAAGGAAAGAATACCAGAAAGATGTTTACTTGTGTTTTATTGACTATGCAAAAGCATTCAATTGTGTGGATCATAACAAATTATGGATAATTTGGAGAAGAATGAGAATTCCAGAACACTTGATTTTGCTCATGAGGAGCCTGAACATAGATCAGGAAGCTGTTGTTCGAACGGAACAAGGGGATACTGCACGGTTTAAAATTGGGAAAGGAGTATGTCACGGTTGCTTGTATCCTTTCACCATATTTATTCAATCTGTATGCTGAGCAAATAATCTGAGAAGCTGGACTATATAAAGAAGGATTGGAAGAAGACTCAATAACAACCTGTGATATGCAGATGACACAACTTTGCTTGCTGAAAGCGAGGATGACTTGAAGCACTTACTGAAGATAAAAGACTATGTCTGCAGTATGGATTACACCTCAACATAAAGAAAAAAAAAAATCCTCACAACTAGGCCAGTAAGCAGCATCATGATAAATGGAAAAAGATTGAAGTTGTCAAAAATTTCATATTACTTGCTTCCACAACCAATGCCAATGAAAGCAGCAGTCAAGACATCAGATGCTGTTATTGCACTGGGCAGATCTGTTGCAAAAAAACTCTTTAAAGTGCTGAAGAGCAAAGATGTCTCTTTGAAGACCAAAGTGCGCCTGCCCCAAGCCATGGTGTTTTCAGTTGCCTCATATTCATGTGAGACCTGGACAATGAGTAAGGAAGACTGAAGAAGAGTTGATGCTTTTGAGTTGTGGTGTTGGAGAAGAATACTCAAAGTACCATGGAATGCCAAAAGGACAAACAAATCTGTCCTGGAGGAAGTGCAGCTGGAATGCTCCTTGGAAGCTAGAATGGCCAGATTTCATTTGACCCACTTTGGTCATGTTGTCAGAAGGGACCATTCCCTGGAGAAGGATATCATGCTTGATAAAGTGGAGGTCAACAAAAAAGGGAACAGCCCTCAATGAGATGAACTGACACAGTGGCTGCAATGATGGGCTCAGGTATAGCAAGTATTAAGAGGCTGGCACAGGACCGGGCAGTGTTTCATTCTGTTGTACATAGGGCTGCTATGAGTCAGAGCCAACCTGACACCACCTAATAACAACAACAACAGATACACCTATACTGCACATGCATGCCCTTCCATATGCCTTCATATTCACATATATGAATACATATCTACCTATGTAACCACACACTTTTTTTGGTTATTACTGTTTTTGCAAACTTGCATATATAGTATTTACAATAGTGGATCATGACAAATTATGGATAACATTGAGAAGAATGGGAATTCCCAAACACTTGATTGTACTTATGAGGAACCTGTACCTTGACCAGGAGGCTGTCGTTCAAAAGGAACAAGGTGACACCGCATGGTTTAAAATCAGGAAGGGAGTGCATCAGGG